AAAAAACTCAAAAAATTGAAATTCTCTAACCTATGATGGGGGTGCTGTCAGAGTTCACTCAGGGATTGCAAATCTGGACTCTAAAAATTCTTGTTCAAATCTTTTTGGTTTCTGAGATACGGCTTTTTTAATGATTTTTCTGAAATATTTTTCTATAAAACGTATATTTCTAAAACTAAAACCAAACTTGGAATTCTCAACCCTATGGAGAGTGCTGTAGATAGTCAGAGTACAAATCTGGAATTATTGTTCTTGCGAAAGAAGGTACAAAATGCGAAGTTTGGCACTGTGCGAACATAACAAGTATCAATTGCTCTGTAGAAGATTTCAGCGGTGAGCTCAGTGCAGTCAGCACTTGATTCAATGTTATTAAAAAAGAAGTTATAAATACATCGGCAAAATTTTATGGATAATTCAAGATGGTCTTAAAGCATCCAGAGAAATGTCAATTAAAATCTACCCTCCTCGATCATAGCACTGATAGGATTGTCTGTTGTTTGTATTTTTTAAGTGGGGCTCTTACAAAATGGTAATGTTTAGAGGAAATGAGTATAGTTAATCCCCCTTTACTTATACCACTGCATGGATGCTCTACGGGTTCGAAAGTTTTTGACGTAATCCCCCGGATTTTTAGTACGACGGACTTTACGTGAATATAGGTTACCGATTGAAATCTCAGGAAGTAGAGACGAGGAATTGAGTCCTTTTTAACTTTTTGAGTTCAATTGAAATTATTCTGCTTAAAATGACGTAAATAGCACTATCCAAATACGAGTGTGGAAATGGCGCGAAAAAAAAACGTGAACGATTTCTAGTTTCGAAAGTGGAATTTATTTTTAAGATTTACCAGCGGAATAAAAACTTTACCTATTGATCGAGTTTTCTCAAGTTGGGTTCATGTTATCAAAAAGCGCCAATCTTAAATTGTTCTAGAAATTCAAAGAGCTTAGAAGCATCTTTTTTTTTCTTTGAAATTTGAAAGTTGACATTTTTTTCAAGAAAGTCAGTGTTTTTTTTTGTTTTCTTGCTTTCATTGCTTTTTTTCCAATCATCGATGGCTATGTTTCCTCTAAACAACGTTTCCTTCAAGATTGAACTAGATTTTGTTTTAACGCGATTGCCTTTGAACTAAGTTTTAATGATCCAGTTTCGTTCGAACCTTGTTTTGTTCATTGTTACGCTTGCGATTAGCAAGCGTTATCAAATTGGAATATAGGCTTTTTTAGGGTTAACAACTTATTTAACAGAATCCCTTGTATCTTGGTTCATATTGAATTCGAACTTCTACGCATTTCCGGCCAACTTTATGTGGCTCTTACAAAATGGTAATGTTTAGAGGAAATGAGTATAGTTAATCCCCCTTTACTTATACCACTGCATGGATGCTCTACGGGTTCGAAAGTTTTTGACGTAATCCCCCGGATTTTTAGTACGACGGACTTTACGTGAATATAGGTTACCGATTGAAATCTCGAGGAAGTAGAGACGAGGAATTGAAGCCTAAAAATAAAAGTAATGCAATAATAAAACAAATGTTTTTATAAAATGAGCCCAAATGAATCTCTGGTGGGGGAATCTGTTCCTTTTTAAGGAATTATTCTGAAACTAACGTAGAATTTTTGAGGTTTCTACCCTGGGCTTAAATTAATCAAAAATATTTTGATTGCATCGAAGTTTACTTATCTCATCCGCCATGTTTCTTATTCAAAATTTGGGCAGCATGGATCCTCATTGGTGCATGCTGTATAAATGTTGTTCCAAACTTATCTGTTGTTAATCTATTCCAGAGAAAGAAATCCTTCTTTTTGAATTTTCGAAAAATGCAGGTGTATGCTGTCAGCCTTTTTGGGCCCTTTTTTATTTTCAAAATTCACATATCTGATGAAATTCATTAATTGGGCGCTATGACGTTTTTGGTCATAAATAATTTTTGTTTTTATAAATCTTTTTTTTTTGATGGAATACAAACCCCTCATGGATGAGTATCCCGGTTGCTTTAACTAACGCTGTTTTTGTATTGGTTTTAGGAAACTGTTTTTACGTTCAACGAATTATTTGAAGGACCATACGTGCAAGACATGTGCTAGCCCGCATACCTGTCCTTGATTATTCAGCGAAAGATTTTTTTTCTCTGGGGTGGAACGCAATTAGTCTCAGAGATAACCCCGATCGCAAAAGATTATTACCTTTGTCCGCAGGTCGTAATTAGTCCCGTTGAGTTCAGTCCCTTCAAACCTAATTTAAATTTACCACGAACAAAAAGTAATTAGGATGAGCAACAAAAGTCATGAGGTGATTTTTCTTCCAAAAAATGTGACTTCAGGCCCGCCTACACTATTTGTACGTATTTACCCTTGCGGTAAGCAAAGGGTATTGCGTTGATTTTTTTAAAATCCAACTCATGGCATATGCTCAACTAAGAAAACACAATTGACCATGTACGAGCGTGTGGCTTGAGGCTCCTAAAGTCGTCCAAAAAACCCACCCTACGCAAAAGTTTTTTCTCATCCCAAATGGGCGGTCGGTACTAAAAGTCTCGTGGAAGTTAAAATAGTTATTTAGTTCAATAAATGGCAAATATCAAATTAACTGGCGTAATGTTGGAACATCTTTGACTCACAGCTAGACTCTGGCGCACCATCTTTGTGTTGATGGTGCGCGAGCTGGAAATACTGGAAAGCACGCTGAGATAGGCTGCTATTTTATTAAAGTAGGCTCACGTGATAATTATGTATCAGAAAATCTTTTCTCTTCATCTACTTTTTGCCGTTTTTGGCCTTTTGGGTGCAAATTTGTCCCCGGAAGACGAGTTGAATTTTTTGAAGTATCACAATGCATATCGAGAAACGATTGCTGGAGCTGTTGATCATTGGGGAAATGAACTTGACATTCCATGTGACATGAAAGCAATGACTTGGAGTAAATGCCTGGCTGATTTGGCGCAGATCAATACTGATGCTGGCAATACAAACCACGAACACGGTAATGGGATATGTTCAACTATTTCCCTTTTTTCGATTTTCTGAAATTGCAATTTCGCTCCGATAAATGATATCAAATTGCCAACAATCAGTTGCGATCAATTAAAGAGCATGTGCCAACAAAGGTATAATTTTTTAAGGTTGTTTCAATATGCATAATTTATACAGAAGTTTGTTCAAATTTGCAAGAGCAATTGTCTTGTACTCGAGATATAGTTTTTTAAGAGTAATGAACATAGTGAAGACTCTTATTTAGGTCTTGCTGATTTTTTTTTTGTTTTTTTTTTCAGGAAAACGTCTTAAAATATTGATGCACTTAGGTATAATGCACTTTTTGAGTTCAATTGAAATTATTCTGCTTAAAATGACGTAAATAGCACTATCCAAATACGAGTGTGGAAATGGCGCGAAAAAAAAACGTGAACGATTTCTAGTTTCGAAAGTGGAATTTATTTTTAAGATTTACCAGCGGAATAAAAACTTTACCTATTGATCGAGTTTTCTCAAGTTGGGTTCATGTTATCAAAAAGCGCCAATCTTAAATTGTTCTAGAAATTCAAAGAGCTTAGAAGCATCTTTTTTTTTCTTTGAAATTTGAAAGTTGACATTTTTTTCAAGAAAGTCAGTGTTTTTTTTTGTTTTCTTGCTTTCATTGCTTTTTTTCCAATCATCGATGGCTATGTTTCCTCTAAACAACGTTTCCTTCAAGATTGAACTAGATTTTGTTTTAACGCGATTGCCTTTGAACTAAGTTTTAATGATCCAGTTTCGTTCGAACCTTGTTTTGTTCATTGTTACGCTTGCGATTAGCAAGCGTTATCAAATTGGAATATAGGCTTTTTTAGGGTTAACAACTTATTTAACAGAATCCCTTGTATCTTGGTTCATATTGAATTCGAACTTCTACGCATTTCCGGCCAACTTTATGTGGCTCTTACAAAATGGTAATGTTTAGAGGAAATGAGTATAGTTAATCCCCCTTTACTTATACCACTGCATGGATGCTCTACGGGTTCGAAAGTTTTTGACGTAATCCCCCGGATTTTTAGTACGACGGACTTTACGTGAATATAGGTTACCGATTGAAATCTCGAGGAAGTAGAGACGAGGAATTGAAGCCTAAAAATAAAAGTAATGCAATAATAAAACAAATGTTTTTATAAAATGAGCCCAAATGAATCTCTGGTGGGGGAATCTGTTCCTTTTTAAGGAATTATTCTGAAACTAACGTAGAATTTTTGAGGTTTCTACCCTGGGCTTAAATTAATCAAAAATATTTTGATTGCATCGAAGTTTACTTATCTCATCCGCCATGTTTCTTATTCAAAATTTGGGCAGCATGGATCCTCATTGGTGCATGCTGTATAAATGTTGTTCCAAACTTATCTGTTGTTAATCTATTCCAGAGAAAGAAATCCTTCTTTTTGAATTTTCGAAAAATGCAGGTGTATGCTGTCAGCCTTTTTGGGCCCTTTTTATTTTCAAAATTCACATATCTGATGAAATTCATTAATTGGGCGCTCTGACGTTTTTGGTCATAAATAATTTTTGTTTTTATAAATCTTTTTTTTTTTGATGGAATACAAACCCCTCATGGATGAGTATCCCGGTTGCTTTAACTAACGCTGTTTTTGTATTGGTTTTAGGAAACTGTTTTTACGTTCAACGAATTATTTGAAGGACCATACGTGCAAGACATGTGCTAGCCCGCATACCTGTCCTTGATTATTCAGCGAAAGATTTTTTTTTTCTCTGGGGTGGAACGCAATTAGTCTCAGAGATAACCCCGATCGCAAAAGATTATTACCTTTGTCCGCAGGTCTTAATTAGTCCCGTTGAGTTCAGTCCCTTCAAACCTAATTTAAATTTACCACGAACAAAAAGTAATTAGGATGAGCAACAAAAGTCATGAGGTGATTTTTCTTCCAAAAAATGTGACTTCAGGCCCGCCTACACTATTTTGTACGTATTTACCCTTGCGGTAAGCAAAGGGTATTGCGTTGATTTTTTTAAAATCCAACTCATGGCATATGCTCAACTAAGAAAACACAATTGACCATGTACGAGCGTGTGGCTTGAGGCTCCTAAAGTCGTCCAAAAAACCCACCCTACGCAAAAGTTTTTTCTCATCCCAAATGGGCGGTCGGTACTAAAAGTCTCGTGGAAGTTAAAATAGTTATTTAGTTCAATAAATGGCAAATATCAAATTAACTGGCGTAATGTTGGAACATCTTTGACTCACAGCTAGACTCTGGCGCACCATCTTTGTGTTGATGGTGCGCGAGCTGGAAATACTGGAAAGCACGCTGAGATAGGCTGCTATTTTATTAAAGTAGGCTCACGTGATAATTATGTATCAGAAAATCTTTTCTCTTCATCTACTTTTTGCCGTTTTTGGCCTTTTGGGTGCAAATTTGTCCCCGGAAGACGAGTTGAATTTTTTGAAGTATCACAATGCATATCGAGAAACGATTGCTGGAGCTGTTGATCATTGGGGAAATGAACTTGACATTCCATGTGACATGAAAGCAATGACTTGGAGTAAATGCCTGGCTGATTTGGCGCAGATCAATACTGATGCTGGCAATACAAACCACGAACACGGTAATGGGATATGTTCAACTATTTCCCTTTTTTCGATTTTCTGAAATTGCAATTTCGCTCCGATAAATGATATCAAATTGCCAACAATCAGTTGCGATCAATTAAAGAGCATGTGCCAACAAAGGTATAATTTTTTAAGGTTGTTTCAATATGCATAATTTATACAGAAGTTTGTTCAAATTTGCAAGAGCAATTGTCTTTTTCTCGAGATATAGTTTTTTAAGAGTAATGAACATAGTGAAGACTCTTATTTAGGTCTTGCTGATTTTTTTTTTGTTTTTTTTTTCAGGAAAACGTCTTAAAATATTGATGCACTTAGGTATAATGCACTTTTTGAGTTCAATTGAAATTATTCTGCTTAAAATGACGTAAATAGCACTATCCAAATACGAGTGTGGAAATGGCGCGAAAAAAAAACGTGAACGATTTCTAGTTTCGAAAGTGGAATTTATTTTTAAGATTTACCAGCGGAATAAAAACTTTACCTATTGATCGAGTTTTCTCAAGTTGGGTTCATGTTATCAAAAAGCGCCAATCTTAAATTGTTCTAGAAATTCAAAGAGCTTAGAAGCATCTTTTTTTTTCTTTGAAATTTGAAAGTTGACATTTTTTTCAAGAAAGTCAGTGTTTTTTTTTGTTTTCTTGCTTTCATTGCTTTTTTTCCAATCTTCGATGGCTATGTTTCCTCTAAACAACGTTTCCTTCAAGATTGAACTAGATTTTGTTTTAACGCGACTGCCTTTGAACTAAGTTTTAATGATCCAGTTTCGTTCGAACCTTGTTTTGTTCATTATTACGCTTGCGATTAGCAAGCGTTATCAAATTGGAATATAGGCTTTTTTAGGGTTAACAACTTATTTAACAGAATCCCTTGTATCTTGGTTCATATTGAATTCGAACTTCTACGCATTTCCGGCCAACTTAGCCTGGAGGTAACGAATGTACCTGGGACGGCAAAGGTCCTAGGTTCGAATCTGAGCAGGACTTTTTTTGACGGGAAATATTCTGTTTCAAATAAACTTATCAGCATCTTGAAATTGATTTTTTGCCGCGCGCGTTTTTCTTTGATGTTGCTTTTCGTGGTTGATTTACTCCTACAGGTTGTAATTTTACTTACCTTGACTTCGCATTTCCTCGACGCAACTTATTTTGGCCTATTTTTTTATTGGCTCAATTAAAAAAATTTTGTGTTGTTTCAAGGGAAAGACAATCTGAACACTCCCCTCCACACGTTTCATGTTGCTTGAATATTTACCAATCGGTTTTTTGAATTTTCTTGTTTTGATCATGGAAAATATAATTATTTACAAATAAATTTTTAAAAAGGAATATTAATTGAAAGACCGCCGACTCCTCTGTCGGCCTGTATAATCCCCTAGTCTCTTTTCACTTGACCCCTCTGGCTACAGCCTTCGAAAAATTATGTGGGGGAATATTTAGCCCATATTTCAGTTTTTTTTGTTTCTCGAAAAATACTTTTCTTAAATCTGAGTTTTTGGTTTCAAGAATAGATAGGTTTCGAAATGCTCTCTGCATAAGCGACTACTCCTAATTTTTTCTGACACCAAAAGTTATGGCTCTCGGGAAAATCAAAATTTTGATTGTTTGACCGTTTTTGTCTTGAGTTATTGGCATTTCTTGAGATCTACCATCCCTAATTTGCGAGCTTTTGGGTCCAATCAAAATTACAGATAGAGTGAATCACTTCTGCATAAGCGGCTGCGCCCTATTTTCTCACACACAAGCTATGATTCGGATATGTCAAGTTTCTGACTTGTTGACCATTTTTTGGACTTTTCTCGCTTACTAATCGAAACAACAGGTTGTTGAAAGCCTACTTAGATAACTGACAATGCCCAGTTTGTTTAAGAAAAAAATATGGCCTTTTAACAAGTCGAAGTTTTGAAACTTTGACAGTTTTTTTTGCAAACTTTTTGATTTTACGCGAAAAATTCCGGGTCAATTTTCAGGTTTTGTTCAATCGAGAAACCCAGTTTTGGAATATTCTCTGCCACCATCTGCTCACAACCTGCTCTTTGCAGCAAAAGTCATGGGTTTTGGAAATCCTTCTGACAGTTTTTTTTAGAAACTTAATGATTTTTTTAATTTCAGGCAATCAAATCTGAGATGAAAAGTTCAAATAAAGAACCGGTTGAGATAATAGTTCCTTCAGAAGTCGCGTCGCGCCATAATTTTTGTAAGGAATGTTATCTCCTTAGGAAAATTGATTAAATCAAAATTTTTTACTCTTCTCACTTATTTTAGCAGAAACATCTAAGGTTTTGGGCTCAGTCCAATTTTTGAAATCACATTTTTCGTGCCGCATCAGTATAGTATATTCATGCAATATCAAACTCATACCTCCAGCTTTAGCGGGGCCCCTTGTTGTTTTTATCTAGACATTAGGAAAATTTTGGTTCACCTTGTTTTTCTCATTTTTCATCTTTTTTGCTTAATGCTGTTTAATGAGTGTGTTGTATTGCAAGTGGTGCGAAGCTCCGCTTCGCCTCTGTGTGTGCGAAATTGATTTTTTCCGCGGATAATTGAATTGTCGGACTTTCAACTGTCTTCTGATTTTGTGTCTGGAATTTTCTGTGAGCAAGTTTACCATAATTTACTTTTATTGTTATTTTGTCAGTTTACCAACTCTGATATTTTTTCTTTTGTTTCTATTATGTTGTCGATTAAAATGGTTTCGGCTCATATTTTATTGGTTTAGACAGCTTATTTTGACTTAATACTTAATCGCTCAAAATTTTTTAATGACATAAATTTCGTTGCATTTTTTGTTTTCGGCTCATTGGGCGTTTACCCTAGTTGTTGTCGTTTTAGTGGTTGTTCTTCAATTGACATGAACCTCCAGAACCTCGTAGTTTTCGAGATATTGCGATTTTTAGATAATTTATATTTTTTCTCGGTAAGACAAAAAGAAAAACTTTTTCTGCTTCTCAAACGTGATCTCCTGACGTGAAATTGCAAGCCAGTAACTTGGTGGATTGTTCTATTAAGTTTTTCTTTCGAAGCCTCGGAATTTTATGCTGTAGGATTTGTAGTTAAAAAGCTGCAAGCAAAATCATTTTTGCCGTTTTTTTCTCAGTTTTATCTAACTCTTCACTAAACAGGTGCTGACGCTTTGTTACCTCCATAATGTCACACACTTTCCTCTTATCTCAGAGTTCTGATGTAAAATGGTTCAATTATCTATTAAGAATTTTTTTAAATAGGTAATTCCGTTGTCTGTCCTCTCCAAGTCTCGGAAGTTGGTTAAATTTTTAACTATGTTAGTGACAAATTTATAATTGGAGAAATCAATTCTTTCTTTGTTCTTATACTAAAAGCTTAGTTATTGCTTTTGGTTGTGTTTTTTTACGCTTGCGATTAGCAAGCTTTATCAAACTGGAATATAGACTTTTCGACTATATTTCTGAAATTGATTTTCTAAAAATAAATAGTGGTCCATAAATATTTTTTTGCGACTTGGTGATTTCCATCTCATTTTTTAATCGCAGGTTTGCAATGGATGGAAATCATTGCAAACCTGCGATTAAAAAATGGATGGAAATCATTGCAAACCTGCGGGCTTTGCATCACTTTTATCGCAAGTGATGCAAAGCCCGGTGGAAAAGAGCAGAAGATCCCGGTAATGTGGCGAATTCTTTGGACTATTTGCTTTTTGAAATGTGGGTGACACGATTGTTAGATCTATAGTCCTACTTATCGTCCAGCTGCTCTTTTTAGTGCTCGTTCGATCTGGCATTTTGCTCTTGGTTATTTTTATATTCCGAGAATAAATAAATATGGGTTAGTTCCGTTCAATATTTTGAAATCATTTTTCAGATGAAGATAAGTTTGCAGAATGTGCCTCCTTGTTTGGCCTGCAGACAAAGCATTTCGATCTGGGACAAAACATTTGGTGGACCAACAATTTACAGAAGCCATGTGAGATGAGATATCTGAATGCACTTGCGAGCTGGTACAGTGAAGTGCAATACTATGACGTAAACACCTGCCGAGTGGCGAGTCCATTTAGAGGTTCTACCAATGGATTGGAGGTCATCACCCATTTGCAGCAAGTGATATGGGCGAATACCAGCTATGTAGGATGCGCCACTGGTAAGTTGATAACCAGTTCGTTAAATGTGGTGTGTTGATCATCAGTGGTTTTTAGAGGGCTGCGTAAAGTGCGAAAAAAGTAGGGCTTCTGAAAGGTATAAACTTTGAGGGGCGTTCTGTCAAGATAGGCAGCAATATTATTTCAGGGGGAACGTCTCAATGCGTCGTCGTTTGCAACTACTGGCCGCCTGTTAAGATTCTCCAAAACTCGAAGCCACGTCCCTACAAGACTGGCCTGACTTCGTGCTGTCCAAGCGGCTATACTGCATACACGGGGTCAAAGCTGTGTGTCGAGGACTCTTTTGATCCGACCGAGTATGCACTAGAATTGTCTGAGGAATACTGTGACGAAGGATGGTACTTCATCGGAGCCCCATATTTCCAGTGCATCAAATGGGAATGGGGCAAAAAGAGGGCTGTTGAAGCTAATTGCGAAGAAGCAGGGGGAAGATTTTTGTCAAAAGGAGATTTCGATCCTGTGATCAATAAACAATTTCTCCAGGAGATGATGTTCTACATGGGAACTATCGGAAAGTATCAGCGTTTCAAAGTGGCATGGATTTGGGTGAAAGATGAATGCATTCTGAATGAAGAAACCCTGGAGTTTGATGTGAAGATATTCAGTTGGTGGGATTGCAGCTTCAGACGTACTTGTGGCGCTGTGAAACTCTCCGATATTTTTGCGAATAGGCAATCGGTGGAGTTGAGAAACTGTTGGGATGAAGGGGAAAAGGATGGCCAAGGAAATTGGGAATCAGTGGCCGTTGGAGTATGTTTAAAAGATTCGCACAATTGAGTATTGTGAAAAATCATTGGCGTTTTTGGGCTATAGTAGATAATGTGTGCGGAATTCAAGCGAGCTTGGTAATGGGGTTTTAAAAATTGAATTAAATTGCATTTGGTGGCACTATTTTCTGCTGCTTAGTTTTCATTCTTGAGCAGCTGGCAGTTCGTTTTTAATGCAGTTTTGTTTTTCATTAATAATAACAGCGAAGCGAAATAGAATTTTATATTTGGAATTGCTAATCGTTACCCGGCTCACAAAATCACCGAAGGATGTCTGTTTGACAGCTAGACGAGATAACTTTTTGTTAAAAATCAATTGCTGATTTTGAAATTGTCTTAATTCTTCTTAATTGTCATACTATTTTCTCCGTGTGTACTTTTCGACCTGTCTTATGGTGAGAAGGAACATGACGTAGGATATTTTTTGCGCAAAAACAGGTACTCGAAGAACATATATTCTTTATTATACTTGCGGGAGCACGTATATTGCTATCGGTTGCCAGATTTTTCCCGTAAAAGATTTATGCGGTTGCCAGACTTTTCCGGTTGCCAGACTTTGCTCGGAGGACTCATCTGGAGCGCCGACCTCCTCCAATTTCTGTTGGAAGCTTACTGCAGCAGACATATTTTGAGCATTTTAAACATTTGTTCTATTCCAAATTTTGTTGTATCTTGGTTGTTAAATAACCAACTCGATATTGGATCAAGAATAGTCGGTTGCTTTGCAAAAAGCACAATGTTTTCACCGCCGAATTTTAAAAGAAACTCGAAAATTGAGAAATAAATATCCGTTTTTTAGTTAGAGATAGGACACTGAATTAGTCAATGAGCCAGAAGCACGAGAGAACAAGGATAGCCAGTTGCTGTGCAAGTAGCACAGAATGTTTCGCCCATAGTCTTAAAAACACAAATTTTTTTTCATTCAAATTTGTGTCCTTTTTTCTGCGAGGAGTGATAAAAGGTATGAGCAAAAAACTAAATCTTAGGCATATTCGACAGTCATAGGAAAACAGGCAAACTGGACAACATTTGTTGAAGAAAATGACTAAAACAGAAATATCATAATAATCAAAGTTGTTGATTCCCTTAAAAAACTGATCATACTCCAGTAAAGCTTACGTTAAGCATAATTAAGCTCTTGTAAGCGGCCCAAATAAGCATAAATAAGCATGCTGGCTCGCTTTACTCGCCGTATTTTTTTTTTCGTATTTTTATTTTTTTAAAATTTTTTTCGTATTTTATCAATTTTTTTTTACAAAATAATTTATACCTCATTTGATGCAAGCGCCGATGAGGCTTACGCGAAAAATTTTAAGATAATTTTATTGTGTGGGGTCATCTTGGCTACCGATCCTCTAGCTTGGCGACTGATACCAATTCGGCTCAGAAAAATCAGCCAAGGTCATGGTTCCTTTCCACTCCTTTCAAATTTTGATTTACTCTACTACGTAAACTAATTGTTGATTTCGGTGGGAAGGAACTAGGGCCTCGAACTTTTTTTTTCCTCAAGCAATTACATGTATCTCAAGTAGAGCGCGTATACGCAAGTATTTTCCTCAAAATGGGTCTAAATAAAAACGCTATAAGAATTACAAATAAAATCAATCTATGAAAGGTTCTGAGTTCTTAAAAACGATAATTTTTTACGAGCAAGAAGGTTTCATTTGAAGAAACTTATTACGCTTGCGATTAGCAGCGTTATAGATGTTTTTTTTTTGCACTTAAATAATCATTTTTGCTTGTGTTTTCGGAAGAAGCAAAAGCTGAACAAATTTTTTTTGTTAGAAATACCGGTAATTGGCTGAACTGCCTTATGATACTACGAAATTTGTATTGTGTTTTGAAAATATAAGTTTTTTTGCGTCTTTGGAAATCAAAATTATTTTATGTTTGTTTGAGCTAAAGAATTTTTTGGTGCGAATTTTGTAACAGCATTTAGCTTGATATAGAGATCAAAATAATTAACTGGAGGTGGTATTCGTCAACCTTCTCTTTTGGAAAGAAAATTTTGTCTTGATTTTCTGATTTTTGCTTAGAGCCTGTTGTATATATCTTTGAGTATTGTTAAAGAAGTTTGTTTAAATTATTCACGCTGAATGTTTGCCAGTTTCGCAACCTCTATGAAACTTAAAGTTTACAGAGGTTGTAATTGAAATTGTTTTTTTTTCGAAATGTTTTTGATCCAGTCACCCTCAAGATTGCGAAGGAACTTAGGCCTTAGAGTGGGGGTCTCTTTCCCAGTCTCAAAAACTACAAAAAAAGTTTTTTTTCAAATAAGAGACGTTTTTCTGCTAGGTGTGATAAAACTATCTGACCTAGATTTTAGGCATATTCGACAGTCTTAGTAAAGAAGGCAAATTGGACAAATTTGATACCTGTTTTTCTCAATACTGGGACAAATTTTTGAAAATTTTTAATTTATGAATCACGACTGAATTGGCTTTTATATGATATATCACACATTCCCATGATTATTTGTACCTGATTTTGCGTGGAAAACAAAAAAAAAGAAAAAACTAAAACACACGAATACAAAGTTCCTCCCAGTTTCCAAGGGTCGGAACAATAAGAACCGCTCAGGGTGTCGATCATGGTATTAAGCATTCATGTTTTCTTGCTTGTGTTGCGTGGTGCAGCTTCGCCTCTTGGTCAGAAATTATAGTTCTATTGTCAAGAAGAGCGGTATTAACTTGTTCCAGACTAATTATTTCGACCATGAAATTGATTTTTTGCGATTTGTCTTTTGGTTTCTTTTCAAGTTCAACTCAAATTCACTTGCTAATTATGCTCTCCTATAAAAAGTGGAAATGGCGCGAAAAAACTTGAACTATTTTAGTGAAAAAGTGTCAATCCAAAAAAGTCTAACCGGCGATCTCTCTTTTTCTTCGAAAGAGGTTTAACATGATCTAATTTCTTCGGCTTTCATGAGTTTATTGACACTGTTTCATCTTTCTATTGGCTATTTTTTTGTTTTTAAACTTGGATTGGTTAAACTGGCAATCCGTGCTTCAATTTTTCTCCTCTTTTGTATCGCTTGTATTACTTGTTAGGTCAAATCTGGGATTTTTTGTCTCCATTTGAAAAAATGGTTTTCAGCATGTATAATTGTTTGTATTTTTTTCAATATGTCAATTTTGTGTCATCGGAACCATTTTCGATGTTTTTTCTTCTAATGCTCTTATTTTCACGCGATTTTTAAGACGATTTTGGGCTTTTAATGTTGTAGTGAGCTATGTCCACCAATTTTGCTGGGTTATATATTTTGAACACATTGAAATATGCATCTTGAATTATTTCGTAAAATATCGCAGTTTTAGTTCATAATATTTGAAAATAGTTATATCTGGATCAGAGAAGTTGAGCAGTCGTTAACTGAGGACACTCTTTATCACCCGTGAAGTGACAAGAAGTCGGAAACTTATTGGCGTCAGATAAGCTAGATCCAAACATGTCATGCTGTTGTGACACAATGTGCAACTGTCACATATTACAAATGTGCAAACTAATTCAAAAACGGGCGATAGACTGCGTTCTGGAGTCTTGTGATAATTTGTTAAAACAGATGGCCGAAACAGCTATAACTACTGGTTATCACAGTATTTAGCGAAGATGACAACTTGACGTTTGGCAGAGTTTAAGTTCTGGCTGTCCATCCCCAATTCATTTTCCTTTTTCAATGCTTGAAGAAAGTTGGGATAATAGAATGAAAATTGAAAAGTTTTTGGTTGGTTGGGCGTTGCTTTTGGGCTCAGTTAGGGCGCAGTTTACAACTGAGGATGAAGCCTGGTGTCTGTCTAATCACAATCTGTATCGGGAAACAGTGGCCGGATCTCCGGACCACTGGGGCAATGAGATGGCCATTCCGTGTGACATGAAGGAGCTGAAGTGGAGTGAGGACTTGACTGCTCTGGCCCAGAAGACGATCGACTATCACATGGACAAAGATGATATCAATCACTACCATGGTATGGCAAATATATCTTAATGTGAATCAAAATCAGTTTTTTTTATTTTGCTGGTAGTGTTTATCTTAGTTCTTTAAAAAACTATCAATATTTGCAAAAAGTGTTTTTCCTTTTTCAGCGTGTTGTCACTGTCTTATTAGTGCACTTATTGTAACTCAATGGTGTTGATTTTATTGGGCTACTTGATAAGTAGTTGTTATTTATCATTGTTCCGACGAAAAGGATAAATTTTTTTGAAAACGTTTTTTTTTTATTTGTGGCTGTTGTGAGAAATTATGAGCATTTTGCACAGCCAGCGGATTCTCTTGTTTTGAAGCTATTTATTGGAATCTTTTTCTGTTCAGATGAAGAGAAGTTCTCTGAAGTTGCGGCTGCCTTTGGCCACAGCACTTGGGACTTCGAGGTGGGCCAGAACATGTGGTGGCACAGGAACTCCAGACGTATCCCCTGTCACAAAAAATGTCAGCTAGCAGTGGCCAGTTGGTACAGTGAGGTGTGTTCCATTATTCATAGAGTTAATTTACAAAGATTTACTGTAAAAGAATTAATGGTCTTAATGGAAAATTTTCGCAAGAATAACAAAGGAGATTTCGAATTCGCATGTAGTATGTAATGAAAATTGGCAGATGGCTGTTTTTAATTAAATCTGTTGGTCCGAACTTTTCGCTTCAAGTTATAATAATTCAACTCAAAAATTATCAGTGTTTTATTGGAAAAATTTTTGGTATAAAATCTTTTATGTGGTGTATGAAGAAAGTTTTAACGATTTGAGCCATTATTAATATATTTTAAATTTAACGCCGCAACCATCCTTCTCAAAAACCCATAAATAATTTCTTGCTGAACTTTAAATTGCAAATATGTCAGTCAGAGCATTGTGTGCAACCTTTACAGAAACCGTATATTGTTTTTAAAGTCAGTTTGTCTCTTTAAATTTTTTTGTAATTAAATTTTTCTGCATGAAGTTATTATTCTTTTAGTTGCATGCTCTTAATTTTCTACAGGTGAGGTACTACGACACGAACACGTACAAGATAGCTGGTCCCTATAGGAATTCGCACAAGAGCTTCGAGGTCATCACCCACTTCCAGCAACTCATGTGGGCCAACACCAGTTATGTCGGCTGCGCATCTGGTAATTTCCCCCCTTCCTTGAGAATTTATGGTTCTAACCACGCATGAAGCATAACTCATGTAATTTACAGAGCTGTGTTTTTTTTCCGATCGATATGATCTTCTTTGGTGAGCGGTGGTGAAGTGGTTACGTCTCGTCCTCTCAATCGGATGTTCGAGGCCCACCATGATCCGTGCTCATTGCTTGAGGGTGAGGCAACATTATCCAGCCCAGAAAAATAACATAAAAAGTTGCATGTAGCTCTTAACCAGGGGCACAACAACGATTGTCCCTGAAGAGCCCAACAGCTCGCATGTTAATCCTTTACCCTGTGGATAAATCGTCTTAACTAAATCAAGTAGTGGAAACTAAAAAAAAATTAAGGTGTTAGTACTTTCACGTTTTTACCCCAGCTAGGTATGCTATGTCTGGGGGTTTATTGAAGTCAATTGTGGTGAATATGGAGCTGTAGGTGAAATTAGACTCAGAAGGTTGTGGGTTTGAATCCAGGATATGGCAAATTTTTTCTGCAGTTTTTTTTTCAAAACATCCTTTTACGAAATGTGTATTTTGGTTCACTTTTTATGCGATATTTGACTTCGTATCCGTTGAAAATCTTTTAAGCTATGATTAATCAATAACAACTAATTCTACTGCTAGTTATCCAGTTTAACAGCTATTCATCAAAGACAAACGCGAAATTTCAAAAAGCTATTTGATAATGTTTTCTGCATGTTAATGGATTTTGTTGGTGGGTTTTAGGAGTAATGTGAGGAACTTTGTTCACGCTCAAGTTCATTTGCTTAATGGGAGACAACTCTGCTCTCGAAAAATGTTTTTCCTTGTGGAATAAAAAAAAATTGCCTATTGATCCATTTTTTACACTCATTGATCCAATTTTGATGGCATGTGCTTTGAAACTCGATAAGAAATGAGTTAACACAATTGATGCAATTTTAATTCATCAAATGAACCTAGAAAATCTTTTTGTGTATTTGTTTTAAACAACATTACAATAAAAATCTCGATTTCATAACTTTTCCAAGTCACTATATCTCGCCTTTTTTTGAAATGCATAATTTATACATAGTTTGGCTTCATGCCTTCCAATTTCTTCCATGCAAAGTTAGTTTAGATGCTTTCAGTTTTTTATATTCTAAATTATTACCTGCAAAGTTCTGACTATTTATATTTGGTGCCAATTTTGCTGCCATGCATTGGCAATTTATAACATATGTAGCTGCTTTGTTTATGGCCAGTGATAAAGAATTTTCAAGGGCCCTTGGCGCAGATGCGAGGACAGGGTACTATAAATCTTCTGGCCGTACGATCGATTCGGCCACAGCAAAAGTTTTAATTTTCAAGGACTGTTTTAATCTTATATCTCTTTTTAGAGCTGCTTTTTGCCGTTTTCTCGCTATTGTTTGCGAGAAAGCGCAGCTTCGCCTCTGTATCTCAATTCGGGTTGCTTTATCAAAAAAGTGTCATTCATGCAAGATTCCTGAAATTCAGAAAGTGATATGTATTTATGCTTTTTGAAACTCGAACGTCGAAAATATTTCAGAAAAACTAACTCCTTGCTCTTTGACACTTTTCCAGCTGTCTGTTTCAGGATTTCAGCTGTGGCGAGATGTAAGTAAGCCCATGTGCATAATTGTATGCAACTATTGGCCGCCCGTGCAATACGGATCGTGGGTGAGAAAACCGAAGCCCTACAAGGACGGTCTCAATGCATGTTGCGATCCAGGATATACCAACTTGAACGCATCGACCACACTCCTATGCACAGAAGATGAATAGATCCATGATTTGACATGATTGGGCTTATTTAAGGGTCACAATGGTTTAAACTTATCAGAGAAAATTTATGTATGAAACACGAGGTTTCGGTTGTTTTATTGCATCTCTTTCTTAGAAAAATCTATTGATTACCGCGATATCAGTCGCCAAAAGTAGTCATCATTTCAGATAAATTTTGGATATGTGTAAATTTTTGAAGGCTAATGCCGGCGTTAAAGCGTCAAAGATACAAATCGCAATTTTTTTTTATCCAATTGAAGTTCCAGGAATAAAGAAATGTACACTGCAATGAAGAAGTGGTCTTCTCATATCGGAATCATAGCAAATGTTTATGAACGAAGTCAATTTTCACTCAATCAGATTGTGGAGTCTTGCATGTTATGAATGAAACGTTGTTTCATTTTCTTAGGTCATGTATATATATTTTTAGTGATTAGAAGTCTTGCTGGCGCGAATTTGAATGAAATTCGTGGGAACGGCGGTGAATTGGTGTACTCTCCGCTTATTAACCGAAAAATCGGATGTTCGCATCACAACAGTGCATGTATTTCTTAACCAGGAGCTCTCAACGAAGAGCTGAACAGCTGATATGTTTGGTCTTTCCTTGTGGGTAATTTTTTGTGTCTTAGCTCAAAGAATTGACGCTTTTTATTTTCAGAATTCTGAGTGAAATGAAAGAACTTATTGATCCAATTTTGATTTGAGGAAAAACTGTCTGTGATAGAAGTTCCTTGAAATTGTGAGAGCTTACAGTTACAGAAGAGCAACCGAATTGGCTGATTTTTGTTCCTGCCAGTGACAGTTTTTTTCGAGGTTAACCACGAGCCATACTTGTTGCTTGCAGAAAAGGCAACTTGAATAATCAAATAAATAACCCGTTTTTATGCAAGAGAAGGTTTGTTATATCAGGAGTTAACTTTTACCAACCGAAGACGCTCATATTTGTGTAAAACTTCTGTTTGCAGGATATTTCATTAGTTCGACAGAAGAGACACTTCAACTGTGATTATTTTTCGTTCTGAAAGTTTCTAAGTTGTCAAATTAACTAATATTGGATTATTATTTTGCAAGGTTTTTTGTTATTAATCCCATAACTGATCTTTTTCTTTTTAAAAATTGAAACAAGATGCTTGAATCTGATTGGTTGAAATTAATTCTTAAAGTCTTGATACCTGTTCACGCTCAAATTTGATCTTTCGGGGTTTGAGATTGTTTTTTTTTCGCTTCCGAGGAGCAAGCGATATCTTATAGGAATAAAGATTCTTTTGTTCTACTAGAAGCAATGACTACGCCTGGGACGGCAAAGATCTAAGGTTCGAATCCAAGGTAAAAACCTTAGATCTAAGGTTCGATCTAAGGTTTTTACTCTGGCAACTGCAAGGCCATTTTTTTCCAACCGAAGTCAAAAATATAGTGCTTCTTTTGTTTAGTGGCGCTTTTGCAAACGGCTGATTTGGCAGTTTAATAACGCGTGCCATTTGAATCATTTGATAGCTTCACTTGAAATATACCAGACTTTGTGATGTTTTTCAAGTCGATTCTTGCTCGAAAACATAAAGCTTCCTTGAAAGGCGACTGTAACTAGCACTGATTCCTAACAAAATCAGTTGATAGATTTAATGTTGATAGATTTAATGATAGATTTAATGATAGATGATAGCTTTAATGTCTTTTTCAGTTGATAGATTTAATGTCTTTTTCAGGTAAAAATGTCAAACTCTCAAAGTGGTTTTTTAAATGACGAGATTTGGACGATGTTTGAATTCCTTCACATGGAAACAGTGCAAAATTTCCTGGCCGAGCATAAATTGAGAGGGACTTCAATGGACCATTGTTATGCTAAATTAGAATATATGGGGTTCAGATTCGGCCAGAAGCTCATTGAAAAATTTTCGAAAGATAGAGAGCGATTGAAAGATGAATTGGAGATCATGAAGTATGTTTGTAAGGAGTTTTGGTTCAACATCTACAGAAAGAATATTGATAATTTGAGGACTAATCATCAAGGTGAGTAAAGTGAATTGTTCAAAAAGTAATTATTTTTTTGGGCTAAGTTGACAAAAAAAGGTGGTTAGAGTTTGATTGATCATCGTGTAGGTGCAATATAAAGAAAAATGGAATGGAGTTAAGCTTTCATTGAGGATTATGAATCAATGACATTGTTTTAAAAAGAGAACCCAGATATTTTTACGGAGATCAATGTTTTCATTGACTCGATTGCGTAATTTTTAGTACAGAACGGCGTTTCTTTTTATCAGTGGTTTCGAATGAGGTTTAATTTTTCCTTCAAGGTGTATACGTATTGACGGACAACCAATTCCGATTCCTCAGAAGCATTTCTTCCACCGACCAGTTCACAGCCGAGTGTCACCCCTTCCTAGCTATCCCCTGTGGGGTGGTAAGGGGGGCTCTGAGCAATATTGGAGTGGCCGCTAACGTCTCAACAGAATTAGTCAAACCTCCTCAAGTGAAATTCACAGTCACGATCGATCGGAAGACGTGACCAGAATTATTGAAAACAATACATTAATTGATTGTGTAGCTGAAATTTATTTAAGAATTTTGATGAAAACTTAAAAATTTAAATGGGCATTTAAACTCGTTTTTGGAATTAAATTTGATAGTTTTTGAAAAAAAGTTAGTAACCGTCTGCTTATGATGCCAAGCAAACTTCAGTTAACACTCATTCAGTTGAAGCTTTTTGTGAACTCAAATTTGTTTAAAGTTCTTGGCGTTCTAGGATAGAAAGGACGGGGCTATTATCTGCTGATTTACACTGAACTTAAACCAAAACTAGCACCATTTAATTGTGTCTGAGATCTAAACAGAGTTGGCGAGGTGGCTTCATTTTAACAGACCTTAATTTGCCTTCTAACAGCCCTTACTACTTTCAGATTAAATTTGTTGCTTTTAATCACTACTTAAAACATGGCACCAGCTAGGGTAAGTAAATATATCTTTCATTTTCGCCTAATTAAGGGTCGATTAACGTAGTTCAGTCGGTAACTTCCCAAATGGCATAATTCCCAAATGGCATAAAAATGAAACTTTTCCCATATGGCATAAATTTCAAGTTTCTTTTGTAATTCAAACATTTGAAAGACAGTTTGACTAATTTTCTCACTTAGTTCACGAAAAACTTTTTCTCGATTTTTTAATGCAACTGTTGCAGGAAATTTATGCCATCTGGGAAATTTGAGATGTAATTGTTCAGGCTCTTATAGGTCGCGATGATTTTTTTTCGTTTTTTTTTCAGAATTTTTAAAATTTGTTCAGGCTCAAATTTATTTTTTTTGCGGTTTGACTTTTGATTTTTTAAAAGTTTTCTCAAAGTGGGTTAATTTTATCAAAAAAGTGCTAATCATGAATTGTTGTATAAATTTAATGAGCTTTGAGGGCATCTATTTGAAATTCGAAAGCGGAGTTTTTTCACAAAAATTTAGTCAGGGTTTTTATTAAAATATGAAAGTTCAAATCAAATAGCCCATGGACCGTCAATTTTGCGTTTTTAGGTAATTTTTCAGTTTTTGGGTATTGAACTAACGGAATGTTAATCCGGGTTTGGTGCAACAACGTCGTGTACGTGCAAAGTGTTTTATGACTAAAGATTTCGTTTTCACGGATGCTTTGATGTATTTCTGTATGTTTTCTGTCTTTTCAGGCAAACCAATCACGAGTGCTGATCAAGGGAGGCAAAGTTGTCAACCATGACTTTGCAGAGAAGGCAGATGTGTACATAGAGGGGGGTCTCATCAACCAAGTGGGGGAGAACCTGTCTGTACCTGGAGGAGCCACAGTGGTAGATGCCACTGGAAAACTTGTCATTCCAGGTAAATACTATGACGTTAATCGTTTTTCAAAGGAAAAATTTTTTTGAAAAAAAAACGGGCCGATTAAAGCTAATTAAGGTTACAGTAAAGATCTTCATCTATATTTTACTGCCATAAGTTTTCGATCGTTTCAATTTATGGTTTTCATATAGACAGGCGCGAATCGAGGGTTTTCTCGTATTTTTGTTGATCTTTTTAGGTTGATTTCCGACCTCTCCGAAATCACTACAAAGATCTTTTATAATTTAAAAAAAAAATGTACAAAAAATAGCGTTTTATTTTGGCGCGCCTACTTCAAAATTAGTATTTATTGGGCTAACATACTGCATGAAGATATGCTACTGTTGAGCTCGTATTGTTACTCAATCGAAAATTTGATTGAAGCTAAATGTACGTATTGATTATAAGGTGTTTAAATTCAAATTGTTTAGGTGGCATTGATGCACAAACCCACATGCAGTTGCCATTAAATGGCCAAGTGGCCATAGACGACTTCTACTCCGGCACCCGAGCAGCAGTGGCCGGAGGCACGACCATGATCATAGACTACGTCATCCCCCAAAAAGGGGAGGGGCTTCTGAGTGCCTATGAGAAGTGGAGACAGTGGGCGGATTCGAAAGTGTGTGTTGATTTCTCTTTTCACGTGGCAGTCACGTGGTGGTCGGAACAGGTCAAGCACGACATGGAGACATTAGTCAAAGAGAAAGGTTTGTCGAGTTAGATTTATTCTAGTCGGATTAACTTCTTAAGCCATTCATACTAGAACCATTCAGACTACAAGTCAAACTCAAATGATTTTTGCAATTAAGCTGTGACAAGGAATCAAGTTAGGGGTCCATTTCTTTCATTTATTTGGCCTTTCTTCTTGATTAGAAATGGGGTAATCGCTTAAAGTTATAAAACTTAATTGCTCAAAAAATTTCATGACATAATTTCTGTCGTTTTTTTTCCTGACGCAATGGGCGTGTTCCCACGTTTTGTCTGTTTAATGGTCGCTCAGTAAATTCTAAAAGTTTACTTAATGCTGGTAGTTGTGTTTCTCGACAGTTTTTCTGAAATTGAGTTTTCTACTTTTTTTAAATAATTTTTAATTTGAACCACATATATTTTTCGACTGTTAATCCGTATCGGTTACTAATCGTTTGCTTGAAATGCCGCGCTTGCGTTGTATTGCAAGTCATGCGAAGCTCCTCTACTCCTGTGTTGGAACTTGTATTTATGTTGTTTGTAAACCAACTCAATTTTTGAAATTTAGTCTTTTACTTGAAATGTTTATTCAACAAAAGGTCTCGGGTAATCCTCAATTTTTATTATTATATTTTTCCCGTAGGGGAGAGAGATATTATCCATTTAATGGATGACATTGGGACCCCTCCAACTGTGAACGGAGCGCGATTCGAACCCACCACCTTTGTGTTAAAGGCCGCGCGTCTTGACCACCCGGCCACTCCTGCTCCGTTAATCCTATATCGGCATAGTCGCCTCAGATTCGTTCACTTGAAGGTCGATAATATTTTTTGGTTTGTGTGTGCGGTGGGGGATATGCGCAACTTGAAAATATCGAGTTTCTGATTTTTTTAGCACCGAATTTTTGACAAAGATTTTTTTCAAGTCAACGTGAATGTACCCTCGCAATTCCATTTTCTATTCGCTAGCTTGCAATTCTGCGCTGTATATTCCAGGTGTGAACTCGTTCAAGATGTTCATGGCATACAAGGACATGTTCCAGCTAAGTGATGCGCAGATGATAGAGGTGTTCAAGACGTGTAAAGATTTGGGCGTTGTGGCCATAGTCCATGCTGAGAATGGAGACATGGTGGCTGAGCTGCAGAAGAAGATGAAGTCCCTGGGTATCACGGGGCCAGAAGGACATGTCTACAGCAGACCTGAAGCGGTAAGTGCATGTACTCGTTTTATTTTTTGCCACATTTTGATCTGTTTAAGTTTTTCAAAGATGTGAATTTTGCTAATAAATTCCTTGTTCCGACTTTCAAAGAAAGTGACGGAATATTTGTGCTCCGGGTGTTTTTTTTCGCCCGAAAAAGTTTGACTTTTGAACTAGCAATGTTTGACGGAATTTTTGTATCATTCCAAAGGTACTGTTGTCTTGAGCTCAAATTCAAACCTGTGATCATTTCTTGTAAAGTTATGGGGCTTAAAGATTGCCGATTTGGGATATATTTCGTGCTATTAACGCGTAAGCGGACACTTGTAATCCGTATTCGAAATAGTTGCAAATTGGATTGAAGCATGCTCTTTGGTCTATTCATTACATTTGCTATATGATACATAAATCACTTTGTACTTTACATAGCGTGTGGGGGATATATTTCAAAAAACATCAAAAAAATTTGACGTTTTTCAGTTTTTTGAAAATTTCATCAGTTATTTTTAATTTAAATTGCTCCATAGAAATTGAAAAGCAGTTGAATCATATTTAGGGCTTCGCCCTGATACGAGCAGCTAGTCTTGCTACGTTCGTGCGCGAATCGCAGAAAGCTTAAGTTAACGAAGGGCACGCTAAAGAGAGTGTTCCGTTCTTGATTATTTCACGAGCTACATGTTCTAAATTTCCAAACATATCAAATGAAACAAGGATTGCCGGTTACTGTGCAAATACTAAAGAATGTTCTGATTAGTTCAAATGAGTTTCGTTTTTTCTGCGCGGTTTGATAAAAAAATCCGAACGAAAAAAAGTTACGGCATATTCGACCTTCATAGTAAAATAGGCCACATGGAAATTAGTTTGTGTAGAAAATTGACTAGAAAAACGAAACAAATATATATTCAAAAATCTTTCAATTTTTTGCAGGCAATTTATGAATTTTGAAGTTTTTGTTTCCCAAACTGGCGCTAAAAAGACTACCTTTACTTGAGTAAAACTAAGTTTTCACGGCGTAATCTAACCCTAAATATGCTTTTGTAAGACTGCTTACCATCACCTTATTAGCTTGAAATTAGACCAAAATCAAAAATGTCAAACTGGTTTTTCTCGACTTTGAGAAAATGTTCTCAAGAACTTTTTAATGTAGTTCGAATCACGAGTGAAAGGGCTTTTTTACGATATATCACTCAACCCTGTCGGATGATTATTTGTGTTACCTGAGTTTGTAAAATGGAAAACAAAAAGAAAAAAATGAAACAGACCGGAATACAAAATTCCGCTCCATTTTCAATGGCCGGAACAGCAAGGACAGCCGGTTACTGTGCAATTAGCACAGAATTTCATGATCATAGTCTCAAAAAAAAACAAAAAAAGTTTTTTTTTCAATTTAGTGTCGTTTTTTTTCTGTGTGGTGTGATAAAAAATCCGACGTATAACTATAATTTAGGCTTATTCGAGTCATAGTTAAATAGGCAAATAATTTTGTGGAAAAATGACTAGAAGAACAAAAAAAAATCAAATTTTTTTGATACAATTCAAATTGATACATTTTTTTTGAAGTTTTGGTTTCCAAAATGAAGCAAAAAAAAACTTATTTTCTTGGCTGATGTAAGCCTGCTCACTTGCTTTATTCGCACAAAATTGAAATAAAAATCAAAAATTTTAGGCCAATTTTTCTCGATACTGAATATCGTTCGAATCATGACTGAAAGGGCTTCAATTTGATTTATCACTCGACCCAGTCCGATGAGTATTTGTGGTACCCGATTTTGAACGAAAAAAAAGATAACTAAAACACTCGCTAATACAAAGTTCCTCGATATTTTCAATGGGTCGGAACAATGATAGTTTAAAGCAGCTTGAAATTGTTATATGTTGTGTTGAATGGCATACATTATGTAGCCTTGAAAATGAATGGCAGTTTGTATTTTCTTTTGAAAAAAAAACTAACTTGCAAGTCTTTAAAAAATTTTCAACGTGCTTTAAATAAATACAAATATCACTAATGCTTCAAATTTTTTGTTCGCAGATTTTTGCGCTTCGATTGTTTTTGCATGTATGCGCTCACAGTGAAGGAATAAATACCATATCGCTTTCTTCATTTTCTATAATGGACGTTAATCTTTCCATTGCAGGTGGTTGGGAATATCTTCTGGCTTTGGACCACAATTAGTCATTTGCAGTACTATCTTTCTGAGTAATTGTCTGTGACTCATGTAATCCTACCAGACAAAAGGAATTAGATAGTTGAGCGTTTTTTATCAACAAATGGGAATTCTTACATGTTGTAATCAGCACCATAAGAGTGAATTTGGCACCGACGGTACTTAATTTCACTGAAGCGTGGAGAAATTGATTTGGTTTATCATGCTTGTAAAGCGTCGATACTAACTTTGATACGTTTTTAGACGTTGTAGCGCCGTGGGAACCGGCAGGTACATAAAAAAATAAATGCGAATTTCTGAAATTGAAAACTTTGGAGATTGATTAATTGTTCATTGAATTCATGCATTGAGAATGTGACCATGTAAACCTGACAGATAAAAAAAACCACCGAATCTGTCAGAACAGAACTGATCTGTTATTAAATTAAAAAGATCAAAACGGTTTTACAAAATGTGACAATCATTTTTGATGAATGTTTTCATGTGCTCGAAAAATTATTTGATCTGATTCAATGAACAGAAGTAAAAATTGCTAGTTTGGAATTTACATGCGTATAATGTGACATCAACAAGAATTTTTGGTGCAGGTCATCTTTTCTGCCTTCAAGAGATTCTGAACAAAAAAATCCAGAATAGATGTTTATTTGACCAGTAGTTTAATGTGGAGCTATTAATTTCACTAAAGAAAATACTTATTTTATGATAAGAAAATACTTATTTTATGAAAACGCTAACTGAATCTTAGCGTTTAATACTTACAGTAAGCTACTATCATTTCGGCGAAAAAACCCCAAATGATGAATTATAACCGGAGGTGTTACTTCCATTACTGTTTGGATCTTGTTAACTATTTCCAACTTTTGCTAAAATTAACTGATGCGTTTAACTGATCAATTATTTCTTAATAGTGGTGTGTATTTGTTACAAGGTACTATCTATAGGGGGAGGGGGTAGTTAGCAAGATCCCTATTTTTTATTTACTATCAAGTATGTAATGTTGGCCCTGTGAACACAAATGATGACGAGTAGTGGCTTTGCAGGTAGAGTGCGAGGCAGTTCAACGGGCTATAACACTGGGCACCGTTTTCAGCGTGCCTATTTTCCTGCCAGTATCGGGCAAGGGCGCCTCAGACGTGATTAGGAAGGCGCGCCACGAAGGTACTGTTGCATGTAGATAGTAACTGTGGTGTCAGGCAAATAAGAGGACAGCTGTTAAGACGACAACCGCTTTTTTTGTCCCTTTAAAACGACGCTATACACGAATTGCTCAATTGTATTCCTGAAAAATGAAATTTGATTAAATTTGAGCAGTTCATGTTTTATGTGTTATTTGTCGGCTTAATATCATGTCATCTTAAACTCTAGTCGTTTTATTTACCTAGCACCAGAAATTGTAGTTGTGAAAGTAGGAGTATAGGAATGAATTCCACGTGGCAGAAGGACCAAACGACAGGAAATTATACTCAATCAGAACTGTTCTCAAAATTTGAAAGAAAATGATATTTTAATGAATTTACTTGGACACTTTAAACAATTCTATTTTTGGGTGAATTTTTTTTCATTCGAACCTTCTGTCATGAGTTCAGACCCCGTAGTAGATAGTAGTTAGATTAGACCCAGGAAGTATTTTAAATGGATAATATGAAGTAACATAACATGCATGATGATTCATCACTACCCTGAAATGATCCACAAGTGTCTGAAATGGACGCACTCTAACCTTTGATTGTGCCCTGTTGTCCCACCTTTGTCTGTCACACTCGCTGTTTTGTCTCTTGAGAAATCAGTTGGCCTTGAGTATCAATAGTTGATTTTTGTATCGGTATTTCTGTTATAGAGTGCTTGTAGTGTTCATCTGTGTTCTGTTTGTGCAAAACATGTTTTTTTTGTTGGAATAAAAGTCGATACAATTTAACAAGATAAGGGATGTTAGTTACCTTGATTAATATTCGATTGTGATTTGACTTAGGTGAAAGTTTTGTAATAGTTTTAATCTTATTTAGTAAAGAATTTTCAAGATAAAAAGTTGCAGAAAAACTTCAAGTTATCAGGATGGTTATTTCCACTTTTGGTCCGTTTTTGCGTTCTGATTCCGCTTTTTATCTTCAACCAATGGTTTTTTAAAGGCGTCAATTCAAAATGTGTTGTACTGATTAAAGGGTGTCATTGGTATAGATTTTTTTCAGTTATGTATTGTTTTATTGGCTTTTGCAGATTAGATGACTTTGCAGTTTTTAGTAAGGAGCTCTATGTTCCTCACTTGTTCCTTGTGGTCCTTTTAGTAGGGAACATAATCTTTTGATGTTCCTTATGTCCATCTTGTTGTAATTTACAAAATGTATGTATGTCTCACCTGGTCTCTTAAAAAAATTGATTTTAAACTATCAACAAATGTGTGGACGTAGTCCAAGAATTCTTGTATTGGCCCAAAACATATTAATGTCATTTTTATTAACCCAGCTGAGATCTTTTTTAAACGTTTCACGTGCCATCTTTGTCTTTAAAAAACAACACCGTTAGCATTTAACTCTCTAGAAATTGAAATATCAGCATTAACTGAATTGTATGCTTTCTCACTAGTTACTATTGATTCAGTTTAAACTTCTCTTATTGAACTAAACATTCTGATTTTAGACTCCGAAATTTTTTTTTGCACCTCGACCATCAATGGAATCACTTTAGATTTTAATTTTGTTTCTGAGAGTAACCTAGTCGGAGTTGCTGTGTTGAGCATGAATTCCTTGTATACACCATATCACATTTTAGTCTTCATTTATCATACTAGTCTGAATGGCAAAAAAAATTAGTATGCATATATGTACTAGTAGTTGTCTTTGTGTTTTCTAGGCCAGGTAGTGTTCGGAGAGGCCCTAGCGGCTAGTTTGGGCACAGATGGCACCAACTACTTCAACAAGAGCTGGTCACATGCCGCAGGTCACGTGACATGTCCCCCTCTGCGTCCCGATGTCACAACCCCCAAGTATCTGATGCAACAAATGGCCGGGTAAGACTTAGTATCCAAAAATGCGTCGCAGGCCTTCGTTGATTGAAAATTATTTTGAAGTTTTGGCCTTTAAGTAAACGTCTCTCAAAAAGAGGAATTGCTCCTTGCTGTTTCAAACTCGATGTTGATAAAATAGATATTTCACTTTAACTGCTATTTGTAAGTATCATGGTCTGAGTTCATTGAAAAATTGGAGGTGTTATGGGATGTATGAGTTAAAACATGGGAAACATTTTGTTATTCTGAAGAGGATGCATCACCATCACACGAAGTTTGAGGAATAGAGGAAGAGTTCACGCGAAGTTTGAGCACAGTGTAAAGTTTTCAGTTTTTTTAGATAACCAAACGCCTATCAGTTCCTGATATAAATGATTCGTATTGATAATTGAAAAAGACTTTTGGATCGATGTGGGCAGAGGCTACAGATAATAAGAAACAGACGATGATTAAGTCTCAGAAGCTGTGCTGTTGTGTCTGTGTTTGATGATATTGATGGTAATGATGTGGTTTTCTTTGTTTCCAGTGGATCCCTGGACTGCGTAGGAAGCGACAACTGCACTTTCAGCACCGAACAGAGGGCACTCGGAAAAGACGACTTCACTAAGATCCCCAGTGGAGTCAACGGAGTGGAGGATCGCATGTCAATCGTGTACACCAAGGGAGTCAAAGAAGGCATCATTGACGAGTGTAAGTTCGTTGATGTGACTTCGACCAAGGCAGCCCAGATTTTCAATCTGTACCCGAAGAAAGGAAGGATTGCACCTGGGTCAGATGCGGATGTAGTAGTGTGGGATCCGAATGTGAAGCGAACCATCTCCAAGGACACTCATCATCAGGTCCGCCTTTTTATGTATCTCTGAGAGTGCAAAGATTGTTTTATATTGCGCTTTGTGCTAATTTGCTCGAGTTGTGAACTGATATAACAAGCGAAGACAAGTTATGAAAGTTAGAAAAAATTATTGCAGAAGCTTTAAATCAAGCAGGTTTGTTTAGCGCAACTGAAGTTGGTGGCTAATATAAAAAAACCTCGGTAATATAAATTTCTTTGAGTAACGTGGGTGATTCAAATCCAATAAAGATTTTGGTGACATATTTTTATTGTCCTTTTGCTGCATCTGCAGGCGGTGAACTTCAACATCTTCGAGGGCCAGGAGGTATTTGGGAAGCCAGTGTTTGTGTTCAGTCAGGGTGCTGCGGTGTTGGAGGACGGGACTCTGCGAGTAACCGCGGGACATGGCAAGTATGTGAACAGGAAGCCCAACTGCAGTCACGTGTACAGTCTCCTTCATCAGAGAGAACAGGTTATTTTTGTTATTAAGTGTAAAAGAACGAAATGATTTTTGTTCCGACTTTTGGTGTGGTTTTTTGTTCAGTCAATTTTCGACTTGTTAACATAGTGTTTTTGACGGATTTTTTATACCATCTGAAAGATATCGTTGCCCTGAGTTCGATTTTAAAAGGATATTTTATCTGTGATAATTTATCGTAAAGTTACGAGGGTTTTAAAATTGCTAGTTTGGTCAGTTTGGGATTGTTAACGTGCGATATATTGCGTTCTTATAAAACCGTAAGCGGTGGATCATTGCGTTCCAAATTGAATTGAGGCCAGCAATTTAATCAAATTAAAACAATGCCAGACGCTAAACACATCCTTTGCAATTTAAATAGCGTGTGGGAGAATAAAATGAAGAAAAAAATGAAAGTTTTTTTAACTTTTTCAATTATTCAACCAAAAAATTAAAAGGCCTTAAAATGCTGTCGGAATATTCAGGGCCTCGCTCTGATATGCGAGCAGCCCTGTCTATTATATGGGTCTTGATGATATTTTTCAGGAAAGTCTTAAAATACCCAGAAAGGAACAACAGAAGTACATTCATACATATTAATGCATTTATGAATGCTAATAGGTTTACAGTGCTGATTTAAATTATCCGGACGAAACGCAGAAGACTTGAAATTTAAAACGCGTTTTTCTCAAATTGGGTTGTTTTTAAGTTAAAACGATGAAGATAAAACTTGCTAAGAATTTAAGCAGAATTAATAGAATACAATTTGTTTTGCGAAATTCGGGCTCAAAGTTTTACCCCAAAAACGGATCATTTTCAATAAAAACGCCAAAAATAAAAATGATCCGTTTTTGGGGCTAAAACTTTGGACTTGTATTTTGCAAAACAAATCGTTTTTTATTAATTTCAAGCAAGTTTTTTCATTGTTTTTCACCTTAATTCCAACCTAATTCTCAGCAATTCTTAAGTGTCAATGAAAAGCACTTTTTTAGGCCTTGTGGTTTATTGTTTTTTTTCTTCAGGAAAGTCTTAAATTTTCTTTTGAGATTTAACGTTTGATTTTTTTTAAATCAGAATAAAATTTTTTTTTTAATTAAAATCACTTGAATCATTTTCATTTTAGTTTTGTTTTGATTCACTGTAATTTTTAAACTTGCGAAGCAAAGTGTATTATTACGAACTTTCCTTTTTCTAACTTAAGTCGCAAAAAAAGTGCTACTTTTGGTGGCTCTTTTGAATTGGTAGGCTGCGGTAGCAGTATATTATCATATGTGCTTTGAAATTTGATAATTAAAAAAATATCCCAGCTGAGGCATTTTTAATTCATCAAATGAACTGAAAAAAGTTTTCGTTTCAAACAGCAGTATGCTGCGGCGTATGTTTTTTTTAATTGATGACCTAATTTTGCGTCATTTGAAGGGAAACCTAATCCCCTGGAAGGACACAAAGTGATTTGTGGTTTTCTTAGACGTTTTTTACAGGTTTTATGTTCGACCTTCAGATTTTAGATTTCCCAGTGGAATAAAGATTTCTATTTACCCAGTTTTCTTGTGACAGTTTTCGTCTTTTCAATTTTCGAAAAAAAAAATACATTGCGTAACAGTACTTTGAATTTCAATACTTTTATGATAGACATTTTTTTTCTTGAATCTAATCATGATTTAGGAAAATTGTTCAAAATGTCAACTTTCTGTTGGCTATGTCAACTTTCAATTTTCAACTTTGTTATGCTATGTAACTTTGTTATTTTAGACAAAAAGTAACGAGACAAACATAGCTGAAAATTTAATGGAAACAGCTTCCTAACAGATTTATGGTTTTTTAATGATTTTATCAAATGCTTCTTGAACAAAAAAGTTTCTGCAGTTTTGGGGTAGAAAAACGCTCTGAATTTTTTATTGCATTCAAGACTTGATTCCTGGAATTTATTAAATATTGTCAACTTCAGTATCTGTTCGGACTCACATAAAACCAATTTAACGGCCATATTTAATGGCCCGTTACTCCGGCTTTTCAACCATTACGGATTTTTGGAACGTATTTTTAGAGTAAATTTATTAAAGAATCGGTTAATGACGTGAATGGACCAGCTAATTGATGATTCATATAGAAAACTGGGTTATTGTGTTTTACTTTATTCAAAGTGCGAAAGTAAATGCCCATTTCATCCGATCTTTAACTAGTATATCTTAAATAACTCTTAAATAACTCTCAAAACTGCAGAATCTTGTTTGTTCAAGAAGCATTTGATAAAATCATTAAAAAACCATAAATCTGTTAGGAAGCTGTTTCCATTAAATTTTCAGCTATGTTTGTCTCGTTACTTTTTGTCTAAAATTAACCCAAATTGAAAAAACTTGATCTTAGTTTTTTTGTTAATTAAATGACTAAATGCTACTGAAACTTGTATCCAAGGTGACCACCAACTTGGTTTGCTTGCTTTACAGCGATGGATGACTGTAATTGAGTCGAAAGGCATATGTCGTGAGAAGATAACAAGTTTGATCCAGATTAAAAGACCACACTATATAGACAATGAAGCAATAAATTAGAGAGATAGACAGTTTTTATGCACAGTTTCTATTGTTTGACACATGAGTGGAGATTTAAAATAGGCATACTTTGTCTTAACTTCAAATATAAAGATTCTTGGCACAGCAGTTTTTGAAACTTGATATATTACTTGAGCTAGTTAGCTCAGCTCAGCATATCAGCTCATGAATATGCTATCACGAAATACAGAATGGAATGTAGTTTTCACGTTTGCAACCCGCTAATCAGATACAATTGAGTTTGTAACATCTAAGTGTTTTTGTCAGGCTCATCAGCCGACGGCCGTGAACCGCGAGGGATACACTGGACAGGTTGCAGATGCGAACGCCAGTCCGGCGGCACCGAAGACGCCCTCTAGTGGAGGTATCAGTCCCAGAAATGAATCGGGAGACGCTACTGCGAGGAAGACTGGACCACCTGCTGGACAGACCGACTTGCACAGATCCGGATTCAGACTGGATGGTTGGTGTCAAATGCACTAATTTCTGTTTTTTTTTTCACGACTAATTGGCTAGCAACCAGCGTCACCATTAGCCAAAATTTTTGCCATCATTTTCACTTGATGAAGTAATTTTCATGAATAGCTATAACAGAGGAGCTGAAGGAAAGTGATGAGCGCCCCTGCCTTAAAATTGAATTTTTTGTGGCTCGAGACTTTTATAATACCAACACGTAAGTTGAGGGTGGGATAATTTTTTCTTGGCCTAAAAAGTAAATAAATAGTTTGTATGCAGCTCCAAACGATTTGATAACCTATTCAAAAAAATCTCTTTTAGGACACCAGACGGATGACGACAGGCCAATTAGACCGTCGAGCCGAGTGATCCGAGAGCCCGGAGGAGGATCGAGTATCAACTTCGGCTAGATGACACTCTTCGGCCAAACACACTACTGAACTGCATCCCACTCAGGCGAACGAAATAAGCACCAGTAATAATATGCAACACACATATGACACGTTACCTCTCTTCATCTAACTGACTTTCTCAGTTTGAACTCATTTTAACCAGCTTTTAACTAGTTCATCCCTTAGAAATGTCTCAACTTTAGAAGGTTGCAAATGTTAAAGACAGACTTTAAAAAATCGAAAGTATCCAAAAAAAATTACATGAAATTACATACTGTCGATTATTGACCTTTGAACAAAAAAAGTCGGTCTTGATGTTTTGCTCTTTTTATAGAAAGAACAAGTGTCATGTTTTGCACCTATGTTCATCGAATCTCTGCTCTTTCTTTTTGTAGTTGTAATTTCAATGATTTTCTTAATCTTTGTATATAGCAGCGATGGTTGATTTTAATGTTGATTATTTATACAGACAAACTTTTACTCGTGAGTTTTGCATTTTGATTGGCATGGAATAAAATTGGTTGATTCTATTGGATTTTACAATAATACCAAGCTTGCAGGAGCGGAAATTTGTTACTTATGTGGAGTTTTCCTATTTGCCGAAATGTTAATTTGATTGTGAATTTGAATTTAAAATCGAACTTCGAATTTTCAACTGAGAAATAAGATTGTATCTTACAGCAGACTGAACATAGAACAAAAGATTGGGTTCAATCTTGACGAAATAGAACATCCGAAGAATATAATCCCTGAATTGTACAAAAACTATTTTGTGAATAAGTGTAATCTCGAAGACATTTGCCTCTGGAGACTGACATGTGTCAAAACTGCAGAACCCAACAAGCTCAAGTGAACTTCAGAAAAACCAGAAGTCGGGAACATCTCTTTTGGGTGCTACCCTAATTTCTGTTTTATGGTTTTTATTAGGAAGATATGGCAACTTCACTCTCTTGCGAAACGCTGCAGTTTGTTTCAGGCGTAAAGACAGTTCATCTCGTTTGTTTTGCAGCTAGATGCACGGCTGAATGTGTTGAATATCATATTCAATCAGACGGTTTGTCTAGAAACAACACCCAATTTTAATGCACCGGTTGATGTCAGAAAGGTTATCAGTTCTGTTCAAGGTAAAAACTGAGGAAAAACAAAATTCAGTCATGTATCAGTAAAACTAGAATTTTACTCTGATTTTTAGCTGACCAAGAGATTGAACAGGAAAAAATTAGCCAGTACTGTTCTAGAACTGTAACACTACTGTTACAGGGCGGTTTTATTTATTTTTTATTCTGAAACATGAATGGAAGTTTTAACGAAATTGCGATTTGATTTTTAAATTTTGTTACGTGTAGTTACAAAAAGGAAAAACTCAAGAAAATAGTATAAATTATACCGATTGTGCTAGAAACAACCTAAATACGCAGTTTTTTGTAAAAAAAAAAAAAACTGGTTAGCGTTAGTTGTTGAAAGGCTTGAACAGCTAAATTTGCCAAATAATTTGATTGTGATTGAAGTCACGTTTGTGCGTAGTCGGGCAATTCTGTTTTTTAAAATTTTTCGTTTTTTCATACAAAAAATTGCTGTTCTGACTTTCTGATTCGATTTGTACCCAAAAAATGTCCGAAGAATTTGTGCTTAAGGTCAATCCACAAAAAATGGCATAGAAAGTACCATAAAAGTTCACCTCCTAACCTTAAGGAGGTTAACTGATTCCTCATCCACAAAAATTTATTTAATTTTCGGGGTTTATCTACCATAGCTTTACCTGGAAGACTTTTCACTCCGTAGCTACACTGAGCAAGTAGGAAGTAAACATAAGTCGCAAATAGATCGAAGTAAAATATTGAATAAGAGCTAGCTAGCGTAAAGTGATGTTTGTGCATAGTCGCGGAATTTTGTTTTTTTTTAGACTTTTTCGAGTTTTCTTACAAATATTGCTGTTCTAATTTTTTTTCTGATTTGATTTCTGATCAGATAAATAACAAAAAAATTATCTCTGATGTTTTTTGACCAGAGAAAAAAAAACAGAACAAAATTTCTGATTTTGTTATGATCAGAGCAGATTCAGAAAAAATCTCAGTTTTTATTCTGACCAAAGAACTATCAGAGCAAAACCTTCTTTAGCGTGTGCTAAAACTTTTTTGTTAATTGAGAGGCCCTTTTTATCGATTTTGAAGTTCTTTGGATGCTTTCTGACAGATGAAAGTTTGCCGTGCTACTCAAGATACAAAATTAGAGGTAGTATTTCAAAATATATTTCAGCATGAGTTCGATTATCCATTTTGAACTTTTGTTTTGAGCATTTTCAAAGTTTTTTTTTAACGTTGGTTTTACTGGGTTTTCAGACAAAAAAACTTTGAAATTGCTCAAAACAAAAGTTCATAATAGATAATCTAAAAGATAATCTAAAGGTTTTAGCTCTAGTTTGAATCTTGCTGTGCTGACATTGTTTGGTTTTGGGAGAAAAAATAATAGCTGTTTTAAGCACACCATGTCTTAGCAAATGAAATCAGCCAATTTGATCTTCAGCTCACCAGACGACGCTTTAACATAACTGTAGGATTTGTTGCCCTGTTTTTGCTGAAATTTTCAAGTTCATTAGATAGATTACAGTGTAGGCTAATAAGTTTGTGCTTAAGGTCAATCCACAAAAAATGGCATAGAAAGTACCATAAAAATTCACCTCCTAACCTTAAGGAGGTTAACTGATTCCTCATCCACAAAAATCTATTTAATTTTCGGGGTTTATCTACCATAGCTTTACCTGGAAGACTTTTCACTCCGTAGCTACACTGAGCAAGTAGGAAGTAAACATAACTCGCAAATAGATCGAAGTAAAATATTGAATAAGAGCTAGCTAGCGTAAAGTGATGTTTGTGCATAGTCGCGGAATTTTGTTTTTTTTAGACTTTTTCGAGTTTTCTTACAATTTTTGCTGTTCTAATTTTTTTTCTGATTTGATTTCTGATCAGATAAATAACAAAAAAATATCTCTGATGTTTTTTGACCAGAGAAAAAAAAACAGAACAAAATTTCTGATTTTGTTATGATCAGAGCAGATTCAGAAAAAATCTCAGTTTTTATTCTGACCAAAGAACTATCAGAGCAAAACCTCTGATTTTATTCCGATCAGAAAAACATTGGAAAAAAACAGTACTGTAACAGTATTGTTTCAATGCTGTTACAGTAGTGCGGTTTTTTTCTGATTTATGTCTGATCAAATTAAAATCGATACTTGCCAGAATCTGATACAGAACTGATATTTTACTAATTCATTTCTGGAGAAGTATTGATTTTCTCTGTGACTTCAACCCGGGTTTTTATTGGCGATTGAAGCAAAAAATATAGCTCAGGGTTATTTTTAACTGCAATGTAGCCATAAATTTGAAAATCAAGAAGATCAGATTGGAAAAACTTAAAACGATCCATATTTTTTGAATTCTAGATTTATTAACTTAGAAGTTGAATAACTAAAGATTTTTGTTAGATCAAAAGTTTGACTATTTTTTCTAAACAATAAACAAAAAACGATGTAGAATAATTTCTATCGAAGCTAAAACTGTTAGTTATTATCACCTCGGGGTTTATCACCAAAAAATCCGAAACGTGAATGAAAACTAATTGAATTAACTTTCTTATGCCATGAGAAAGTTATTGTAATCTTGATTAGTAATCATAATATTACAGTGCTGATTTAAATCATCCGGAGAAAGCAAACCAATTTTAAAACCAGCTTTTTTCTCAAATTGGCTTAAGATTAGACAAAAAATTAAGAGAACGGAAGTTGCTAAGAATTTCAGTAGAAACATTATGGTGCATTTTTCCGAAATTCTTGAACAAAAAGTTTCCACAAAAAAGGATCATTTTGGCTTTTTATATTAATTAGGAAGTACGCTGAAACTACCAAATAAATAATAAGAAAATAATATAACAAAAGCCCCTTTAAGAGCCCTTCAAATTTCTAGAAACATAGAAAATCCAAAAATTTGTATACGAGAACATGTCTTTGGTTGATGGCCAAAACAGGTCATTTTTTTATTTGAAAATCATTTCAAACGTTTTTTGTATTATTGGAAAATTTACCCTTGTAAAATATTGTTGGGCTAAGTAAGCGGCTTTTTTATGTAAGTTTTCACCAATTAACTTGGTAGTTCCGGCGTAATTTTTGGATAATTAAAAAAGCCAAAACTACCCATTTTGGGGCAAAATTTGGCTGAGAATTTCGAAAAAAATATGTACCATACTAATCTGGTGAAATTTTAAGCAAATTTTTTTCTCTTCATTTTTTGTCTAAACTTAACGAATTTGAGAAGAACGCTATTGAACTTAACATTATTTTATGTTGTGTCCAGTTGATTTCAATCAGCACTCTAACAAATGTAGCGTGAATTCAGGGGGGAAATCAGACCCCGAGTGACTTTAATTTTTTCAATTTCTTGCAGCAATGACAGTTTGATAAAATTTTCAAATGAGGTTGGGTTTGTTCCAGTGGTTGTTTTGCTCCCAGATTCTTCAAGCGCATTAATAGTTTTTGTTGAAATTTGCGGCCGAATGAGTTCAACAGTCTCATAAGACTCCTGCTGAGTTCTTTCACAGGCAGTTGCAACCAACTTTGTATTCCAATTGGATTTTTTTTGTTGCGATTTTCGATACGAAAGTAACGGAATTTTTGTTATCGGGGTGGGTTTTTTTTTCTTCAAACAAACTTCGACGTTTTAACTAGCCATTTTTGACAAATTTTTATTATATCATTCGAAAAGTATTGTTGTCCTGAGCTCAAATTTGAAACAATATTTCACCTGTGATCATTTTTTGTAAAGTTATGGGGGTTTAAAGATTGCCATTTTGGTCAATTTGGGACAATTAACGCGCGATATATTTCGCGCTATTAACGCGTAAGCGAAGAGTAAATTCGTCTTAAAAATTGTTCCAAATTGGTTGAAAGAAGCTTATTTGCCATAAGTGATTTCTTACAAGGAGCGAAATCTATCCTTTTGTAGTTTATATGGCGTGTCGGGGGGATGATTTTTCAAAAAAAAACTCAAATTTAAAAAAATTCATTTTGTTCTTTTTTTCATTTAACTATTTAATTTTATTACTGCTCCAGAAACCTTAAGAGGCAGTCGGAACATTCAGAGCTTCGCCCTGATACGAGCAGTCTTATTTTGTTTTTATTAATGTGCATATATCTCTTGTGGAAGTACGTGTGCTAAAACTTTCTTGTTAATTGAGAGGCCCTTTTTATCGATTTTGAAGTTCTTTGGATGCTTTCTGACAGATGAAAGTTTGCCGTGCTACTCAAGATACAAAATTAGAGGTAGTATTTCAAAATATATTTCAGCATGAGTTCGATTATCCATTTTGAACTTTTGTTTTGAGCATTTTCAAAGTTTTTTTCAACGTTGGTTTTACTGGGTTTTCAGACAAAAAAACTTTGAAATTGCTCAAAACAAAAGTTCATAATAGATAATCTAAAAGATAATCTAAAGGTTTTAGCTCTAGTTTGAATCTTGCTGTGCTGACATTGTTTGGTTTTGGGAGAAAAAATAATAGCTGTTTTAAGCACAACATGTCTTAGCAAATGAAATCAGCCAATTTGATCTTCAGCTCACCAGACGACGCTTTAACATAACTGTAGGATTTGTTTCTCTGTT